GTGCCTCTGGGAATTACAGAAAGAATTAGTTTTATATGTTTATTATTATTTATTCTTATCATTATGGTAGCACCTAGGAGCCTGAATCAGGATCAAAGCCCTATTGTTGTAGGCACTAAAGAAACACAGAGGTAGACATATATTGTGTATCAAGGAGCATATTGTCTAAAAAGACAAGACATACAAATAGTAATATACAGACAACAAGGAAGCAAAATGTTTAACTTTAAGTACATGTCCTGTTAGTTGCATTTTTAATTGCCTAAATTTATTTCCTTATTATGCATTTAAAGGATTTTGAACTATACACCAGACATGGAACCAGCTGATGTAGATGAAGCGATTGAGAAGGCTTGGAACGTCTGGAGCAGCGTGACCCCACTGAAATTCTCCAGAGTTTATGAAGGCAACGCAGATATAATGATCTCCTTTGTGGCTGGATGTAAGAGAATCCCCATGTGCCAAGAATAAGTATTGACTCCTTTACGTACAGTCCTGATTAAGAAGAATCATACTTTTATGTATCCTTTTCTAGTTCATGGTGACTTCTTTTCCTTTGATGGACCGGGTGGAACTCTCGCTCATGCCTTTGCACCGGGCGAAGGTATTGGTGGAGATGCCCACTTTGATGAGGATGAATACTGGACAAAAGATTTGAAAGGTAGGTATTCCTTACTATTTCATTAGCATTCTCTGCTGTACAGTATTCGATTTTAAGAGCTATTAGCTCATTTTTACACTGGAAAGAGATGGGGACACAAAAGTAACGCAGCTTAGTAATAACTACTTATAAAGGGTCTGAACCTGCTGTACTTCTCAGCAGAATTCGCCTTGAAATCAGTGGTTCAGATTCTGAGCTCAGTGACATCCATGACAATCCATAGTAATTCCACTGAAGTCAATGCAATGACTACAACTGTGGCTCCCGTGGAGTGACTGGAATTACCATGGATGTGGACTGGTTTGACTGAGTTAGACAATGGGCATTACTAGTGTACGGCATAGAATTGTGCCCTCAGGGTGAGGCTCTTAGCAGTTGTAAAATACTGAACTCACCACTTTTAAAGCAAAATAAAGTAATAAAGTGATGATAACTTTTAATAACCTTGTGTAGGGAAAACAATGTGTGTTCAGTGGATGAGTGTATTTGTGGTGCATGTTGGGTGCTTCTGTCTAGTGTGCTTTATCGTGGGTTATATTATGGGATCACAAGCTATGGTGCTCAATGCAGGAATTACGGAGTGAAATTCAATGGCCTGTGTTATTCAGAAAGTCAGTCGAGACAATCAGAATAGCCGCTCCTGGCCTCTGAATTCATCAATATTAACAAAACATTGGTTATACGTAAGGAGGGATATTTCTGCAGTATGAACAGATGCTTTAATGTTGGCTGGTCTCATATTTGTAATAATAAAAATGTAATAACCTCTACATAATAAAAAACTAATTCTTTTCACAGTCTTTTTTCAAGACTAAACATGCCCAGCTTTTTTTAACCCTTCCTCATAGATCATGTTTTGTAAACCTATTACCGTTTTGGTTTCCCTGCTCTGGATGCTTTCAGATTTGTCTACATCTTTCTTAAAGTGTGGCACCCAAAACTGGACACAGTATTCCAGCTGATGCCTCACAAGAAGCACAATTCCCTCTTGTGTCTTACATATGACACTCCTGTTAATATATCCCAGAAACATATTCATCTTTTTTACCACTACATCACATTGCTGGCTGATGTTCCGTTTGTGATCCACTATAACCCCAGAACCTTTTCTGCAGTACTACTGCCTAGCCAGTTATTCTCCATTTTGCAGTTGTTCATTTGATTTTTCCTTCCTAAGTGTAGTAATTTGCACTTGTCTTTATTGAATTTCATCTTGATGATTTTAAACCAGTTCTTCAATTTATAAAAGGTAATTTTGAATTCTAATCTTTCCTCCAGAAATTTTTAAAGCACACTCTCCGCTCTATTATCCAAATAATTAATGAAAATATTGAATTGTACCAGACTCAGGACAAACCCACTAGATGCATCCTCCCGGTTTGACAGTGAACCATTTGTAACTACTTTTGATTATGGTTTTTCAACCAGTTGTGCACCCACCTTATTGTAATTTAATCTAGACCAGATTTCCCCAGTTTGTTGATGTGAATGACATGTGGGACTATATCAAACGTCTTTCTGAAATCAAGATATATCACGTCTACTGTTTCCCTCCTATACTTAGGCCAGTAATTCTGTCAAAGAAAGAAATGAGATTGGTTTGGCATGATTTGTTCTTCACAAATCCATGTTGGCTATACCCTATAACCTTCTTATTCTCTAGGTGCTTACAAAGTGTTTGTTTAAGAATTTTTTCAGTATCTTTCCATGACTCAAAGTTAGATTGACTGGTCTATAATTCCCTGGGTCCTCTTTGCGTACGTCAATGCTGCACACTAAGCCGGGGCTCTTATTCAGGTTTGCGCCAAAGCCCCCCTTCTGTCCACATACAAATCATCGGACATAGATCAGCAAGCACTAAGGACCTGGTGGTGTGTGTGTGGGGGAGGTGGTTGGAGGGGTGTTGGGGATGGGGTGGTGGTGGTTCAGAGCCTGAATCCCACTGTGATCTGGATCCAAGCCCTGTCATTTTGCAGGGTGGACACAGCTCAAGCTGCAGACCAGAGTCAGAAGGTGTGTGTAGTGCCATATGGATGTGCTAATACAGCTGTGAGGCCTGGGTCCAGCAATTGTGAACCCAGATTTACAATGCAGTATGGATGCTTAAGCATGGGCTTGGAAACATTGTGTTCACAATCCCAGGTCACACAGAGCCAGGTTTACAATGCAGTGTAGACATTTCCTTTGTTTCCCTTTTTTAAAGATGGCTACTATGTTCCCCCTTCTCCGCTCCTCTGGGACCTCACCCGTCCTTTCCTATTGTTTTACGGGGACATTTATTTAATCTACGTGCATTCTACGCTTTTTATATTTTTAGGATTCAACTTGTTCCTTGTTGCTGCTCATGAGTTTGGCCACTCATTGGGTCTTGGTCATTCAAATGTCCTTGGCTCCTTGATGTATCCAGCCTATCTGCAGACAGAGACCAGAAACTACAGGCTCCCTCAGGACGATGTTGATGGCATTCAGAGCCTATATGGTAAGGCGGAAGCATCACCTTTTTTTAAAGTCTCTCTCATACAGGTTATAAACAATCTGATGAGAATGTGTAACCAAGAGCCATACCGTGGCCTACCTGTGTGGGGTGTGAAGGGGGTAAGGCGCCTCCGTCCTTAGAGCAGTGTACAGGGGCTGGCTGTAATTGCAGTCCTTGCTCATACCTTTACACAGGGACTGTGTTCCCTCTTGTGTCCTCTTGGGTGCTAATCATAGCCAAAGGGATGAGAAGCAGGTAAGGCCATGGCTCACTCTAACGCCATCTGCACGAGCTAGCTCAGCTGGCTAACTATGAGGAGGAGCACATAGTACGACCCGTTCGTGCATATTAGTCACCCCCTGCCTCCCCTGCAGAGGTGAGTGCTTCCTGGGCTTCACTAATCCGAAAGGTTTAAATATGTTTCTGTATGAAAATTTGTGACAGTCTTGTGCTAGCTCCTAAGCAGACGTGAATTGGCACAGCTCCATTAATATCAAGGAGGAGTTCAGAGAGGCAGTGATGAAGGCACTAGGCTAGGACTCCAGAAACCCAGGTTCAATTCCTTGCTCTGCCCTAGAGCTTCTGTGTCACTAATCCTCTCAGTTCCCTCTTCCGTAAAATGGGGATAATAGCATTGTCCTACCCCACAGGGGTATTGTGAGGGTAAATACATTAAAGATTGTCAAGCATTCAGATAATATGGCAGTGGTGGCCATATAATTACCTAGATAGAATGGGAAAACACTGTTTCAAACCCACTGAGAAATTGGCCCAATATTGCTATTCTCCAAGCGCTGTAATAGCAATACTAACTGACCTTCCAATTCTGCTTTTACCTCTTCCCTAAGGACCCCCAGCCTCTACTGAGCCACCAGCTTCCACATCACCCACAGAAACCCCAACAGAAACATCAACAACAGGCATCTGTGACCCTCACGTGACTTTTGATGCCATTACCACCCTCCGTGGGGAAATAATATTCTTTAAAGACAGGTAAATTTATTTCTGTTTTGTCAACATCAAGTTTTGCTTAAACTACACTTGTAATGGCAATGCTTTGACAATTAGTTCAAGAGGGGGGATTTCCTTCCAAATGTATAGTCAACACAACCTCACAAATTTCTACTTGCCCATGTAACCTGGGCAAAGTAACAGAGCTTTCTGACAGGTGAGTAAATATTAATATTTTAAATCATCCTTAGTCATCCTGTGCATGGTCTGTTACATTTCCATGGCAATTGTGCAATCAGAGCATTGTACTTTGGCCTGCAGCCATAACACATAAAGCATTGTTCTTGACAGACTGGTGTCAGGCTGCGGATGGCAGATCTAAAGGGAAAACTATGGGGCTATCGAAAGTGTTGTTGGTGATTCAGTAGGTGGCATTCTTAGCCTCCAGACAGCATTGAATCAAGGCTCCAGCTGCAGTGCTTGGCGACACCCTGCTGTTAGAGGCGCCATCTTTTCAATGAGATCTGATACTTAACCCTTTAACGGGTCATTTAAAGATCCCAATGCACTTCTTGCAAGATGGAGTAAAAGTGGCATCCCCAGGGTTTTGGCCAAATACCAACTCAGGGAATGACATTCTGCCTGCATAAATACTTTGTGAAGATTCAACGGAAGAAATTATTCTTAAATGTCCCTCCTAAAAAGTGTAGTTTAGTGTTGCTGTGCATTGTCAAAGAGCTGATACATTGCACCGAAGAGATGGCTGCATTTACATGGTGGGCAAAAGGATTCCTCCTGACAAAGCGTTACAGATAGGTTTCAGCTCTTCCCTGTGCCTTACTGGGGACCAAAGGAATGGGAGGGAAAGGGTGAGGTAAAAGGGCAGGGTGGAAGAACCACAGTGCAAAGAAATAGGACAGGATTTCTCTGTAGCGCTGAAGAGGGCACTAGGAAATGGTCATTGCATCTCCAAGGGGACATGATCTGTGGGTTGGGGGTATGTCCCACCACCTGCAACTAAGGAACAAATATACAGCTCATGTAGTAGGAATTTTTATTAAATTTTCCTGTTGACGATCTCGTGAATTAATGATAAAATATGATTATATGAACAAGCAACTTGTCTTTTCAATCAGGTACATCTGGCGCAAGAGTCCTTATTTCCCAAGTATTGAGCATGATTTAATTTCTTCCTTCTGGCCAACGCTACCTTCTGGCTTTGAAGCTGCTTATGAAATTGACAAAAAGGATCAAGTGTTTCTTTTTAAAGGTATTTCTATTGAATTCCTAGACATTCTTCTTACATGTGGAAATGAAGAAGCAATTATTATTATTAATAATAACCACCACCACCTAGCACTTACATAACTTTTCACTTCAAAGTGCAGTTTCACAGTCATTAACTAATTAAACCTCACAACAGTCCTGTGAAATAAGATATTGTGCCTATTTCATAACTGAGAGGAAAACTGAGAGTGAAGTTAAATGATGTGCTTAAGGCAGTGAGAGGATCAGTTATATATCTGAGCTAAAGTGTTTAAAATGGAGTGTTTACATTTAGTCAGCTAAATTCATATTTAGGCACCTAACTAAGTGGCCTGATTTCCAGAGGTGCTGAACAATCCCAGCTCCCATGGGGGGGAAAATGTTTTTTTTAACTACTCTAATGAATTTATAAAGCAAAAAATCCAAGTGTCCTGAAACCTTAAATATTCCAGCTGCCTTGCAAGAAAGGAGTGTCTTCAAATTCAATGCTATCAATGGAATACACCCCTCAGGGAACAGAAAAGTTTCCTTGGGGAAGCTCCCCGACTGTAATTAAATACTGCTTAAGCTCATCAGAAGTACCTCTCAAGCTTTTCTATCTTGTTTTTCTTGACAGGCAACCAATACTGGGTTCTCAGTGGATACTCTGTACATCCAGGTTTTCCTAGGAACATCCACACCCTGGGCTTTCCAAGATACGTTAAGACAATTGATGCTGCTGTTTATGATGAGAATACAAAAAAAACGTACTTCTTTGTAGGTAACAAGTATTGGAGGTAAGATTAAATTCTCCCAGCAAATAATCCATGCAGTTTATTTAAAGCCTTATTAAGCCTTTACATTTGGAATTATGACAAATCTGTGGCTCCCTTGAGTAGGATTTCATGACTGGTATATTGCACACCTCATTATTAAGCAGAATTTCAATGACAACAAAGATAGAACTCAGATCTTCCTTTTCCTTAAAACACTCGAGTTAAAGAACATTTTCCATTCGCTGCTAGTACAGTAAAAGCTTTTTTATCGGGCATGGCGGGAGAACGGGGGGTGCCGGTAAGTGAAAAATTCCGTTTAACTAAGAGGGAAGGAGTTTGGGTGCGGGAGGGGGTATGGGCAGCTCCCTACAAGCAGCAACCTGTCCCTGCTGTTCCTGGGGGGAGGCACAGCTAGGCAGCTCCGTGCTCAGCGCCCACCCTACCCCGAGCACTGGCTCCGCAGCTCCCATTGGCCAGGAACCATGGCCAATGGGAGCTGCGGGGGTGGCACATGTGGGAGGAGGCAGCACACAGAGCCACCTAGCCGCGCCTCTACCTAGGAACAATAGGACCAGGTCGCTGCTTTCAGCAAGCCCCCCAAGGTGAGCGCATCCTGGATCCGTCACCCTGAACCCCCTCCCATGTCCCAACCCCCTGCCCGGAGCCCCCTCCTGAACCCACATTCCCTCCCAGAGCCCATGTCCCTCCCCTCTCCCGCACGCCGAACCCCTCGTGGCTGTTCCTCCACCTAGGAGAAGCAGGGATATGTCTCTGCTTCAAGGGAACCACGCGGAGCCAGGTATGGAGCCTGCTGGCCCGTGCCAACTGGACTATAAACTGGACTTCCGGTGAAGATTAGAAATGTCAGTTTATAGATCTTTCCGGCTGGTACAAGGCCAAATAACACAGCTTTTACTGTAGTATGTTCCTATAACATAGGTGAACATATCCAATTCTACCCAACAGAAGGTAGGGTACACCAACACAGTGGCCAGTTCATTATAGTATAATAGTGTAATTTGGACAGGGACTGGCTTTGTGTTACAGGTTTGTACAGAGCTTAGCACAGCCATTTAAATCTGTTTTTCTTGCCTTTCTCTCACTTGGGTCAATGGGAATAGACACGTCACTTTCACTTTTGTGTCTACTCATTTTTGTTTTCTCGTTCTTGTGACCAATGCTCTACTGCAGAGTTCCATCCCAACATCTTTATTAGCATAGGCTGAGCCCCGGTGTCATTGCAAAGAACAGTTAATAGGAGTGCATCATAAATCCATCAGTAAAAATCTCATGTTTAGACAGCTCCCTGTGCCCATCTCCTGGTCCTGACTTAGTTCTCTATTTGTGCCTGCGGTGTCCCTGCAGCTCATGCCTACCATGAGCTGCCTCCCCCAAGTGGTATGCCCCGCCTCCAGTGGTAGGAGAGCTGGTAGTGTAACCCACACACCTCCTGGGTGTGGTGTTCTGTCACATCAAGTGGCACCGAGACCACTTAGAGAGAGATTAATGAGTTTGCTCTATAGCCTTAGCTAATGGCCATATGGCTTTTAGCTCATGTAGTAGAGGCTCATGCATTTAGCTCCAGAAGTCCCAGGTTTGATTCCGATGACTGGGGCCTGTTGGTGTTACAGGAGCAGGTGGGATTTCCTATCAGCTGTATAGCCACCAGTAGCTGTGTGAGGGTGAAAAGACCAGATCCTCCTCTTATTTCAACCCCTACCCGATCAGGGCTGGGGCAAAGCTGGCCTTTACAGCACTGCTGCTGTCCCGTGCAGTGGGGAACTTTACTCAATCATTTTCTAAGATTAAATTAAGAAAATATTTCTACAAATGGACAGGTTTTGTAATCACTCCCCCTCACAAAAAAACACACCCCTGTTTCTTCTTGGGTGAGACTATCACATAACGAAGTGCTCACCAAAGCCCCATCCTGCAAAGTCTTATGCGTATGCTTAGCTTCACTCAGGTGACTAGTCCCATTGACAGCTCATAAGCACAAAGCAAATCAGGTACAGAAATGTCTTTGCAGGATGAGGGCCCAGATGTCAATGTTACACACTTGGGCCCCACACCGCTCCTCCTACAGCTATCAATAGGAAAAACAAACTATTTAGTCAGAATAGCTACGGACAACTGTGCATAGATTAGTAAAGGTGAAAGTATTCATATAGTAAGAATTTATACAATTCAATGAGTTTACAGTAGCTCATGGTTAGTGAGTTTTAGCTAAGGGCAGGACTTACTTGTTGTAAAGGTCAGTTGGAGTCAATACTAAATATCACATGCTTATGTATTATTTTCATCTCATTTCTTCATTCAGTTATGATGAAGTCACCGAATCCATGGAAAAGGGTTATCCAAGACGCATATCAGTTGACTTTCCAAGAATTGGCAATAAGGTTGATGCTGCTTTTCAAGAAAAAGGTAAATAGAAAAAAATACTTTGATAGTTGAATATGCTGGAAAATGTGCATTTCCATAGATTCAAGAATCATTACAGACATTTGTAAGGGTGTTTCTTTATGTGTACACATTTTAAGTTGCAGCATTGTTTGTGGAAAGAGAATGAATATACATTTGTACAAAGTAATTATTCATTTTGTTTGTATTTCTAGGAAATTTCTATTTTTTCCATGGCTCAAAGCAGTATGAGATAGACACCAAGTCCAAGAAAGTTATTCGTGAAATGCAGAGAAATAGTTGGTTTGACTGCAAATAAGAGCAGACACACAAAGCAAAAGAAACAGAACCCAATTTTGTATGCACTAGAGATGGCTTTTCATCAATGTTTTGTTTCTAATCAGTGTTATTTATCTTTTACTTTATGTCTGAGTCACATAAGAGCTGTGATCCCTGATAAATATTATTTTAAATAACCGAGAAATGTTAAATGTATTGTATATAGTTTTAACTTATCTTAGTATTGTATTTAGGCTATTTATTAATCTGTCACTCAGCAATAAAGCTATTTTATGTTTGTGTATATAACAGTCTTGGGTTCTTTTGGTCCAGACTCCTGGTCTTTCTGGTCAGCAGCACTAGAGAAGGGGCCAGTGAATTTAATTTAATTGCCCTGCAGGCTGAACTCCCAGCTCAGCCTTTCAGACAATATGATGACTTTAAGAGACTGCACTAGCTGTAAAGGAGAGGCAGAGCGGGAGGCAGAAGTGGGCAGCTCCAGGGTAGAAGCAAGGGGAAAGACATTAGAAGAAGAAGATAGAAGCACAGAACTAGACGTTAACTCTCTGCTTCATAAGAGTTGATAGTTCTAAGACAGCTATGACCATCTAGGACCTTGACAGTCAGCGTTATGCCGGACACTGTGATCATGTGGAAGTTCACCGTGCTCTGGTATGTTTACTCCTAAAGCACATCTCGACTATGTGAGCTATTTTGCACAGGGCCTATGACACGCAGTTGAGTAGTTCTGATTCCATCCAGTAGAGGGCAGTCACCCCCCCCCCATTCATTACAATATTATTCTAAACAACTGATCCTATCATCACGCACTACCTGAACTGTTATAATTTCTTTGTGTCTTTTGTAATGAAGTAGAAGGGACTGACATAACCCCAGATAAAGGTATTGCGAACGATGGGGGTGTCGGATGGCAAAAGTGGGAGATTTGGTGGCTCAGGGGAGTGACAATGGAATATATCCTTCAGGCCTCTAATCTGAATGCAGCTCAGGTCAGACTGAGCTATGAGGGAAAACTGAAAAAATTGGGTTTGTTTAGTCTGGAAAAGAAAAGACTGAGAGGGGACAGTTTTCTAGTACATAAAAGGTTGTCACAAGGAGGAGGGACATAAATTGTTCTCATTAACTTCTGTGTATAGGATAAGAAGCAATGGGCTTAAATTACAGCAAGGGCAGTTTAGATTGGACATTAGGACAAACTTCCTAACTGTCAGGTTAGTTAGGCACTGGAATAAATTGCCTAGGGAGGCTGCGGAATCTCTGTCATTGGAGATTTTTAAGAACAGGTTGGACAAAAACCTGTCAGGGATTGTCTAGATAAGACTTAGTCCTGCCATGAGTGCAGGGGACTGGACTAGATGACCTCTTGAGGTCCCTTCCAGTCCTATGATTCTAGGATTCTATTGTTGGTGACTGGAACTGGATATAGCTATGATAGCACCAGGTGGAAATTGTTCATAGATAGAGCACTGAGCACTTACCCAAATCAGGTGATGTCTTAAATTGAGTACCCAAAATCCAGGCACCCACAATCACCAGTCACATTTGAAAATCTTGTCTATGTAGTGTGCATCCAACTCTGCTCTCACTGATGACAAAAGTCATGTGCAAACCTAATGACTGCATTCAGAGTAGTATCAGGCCCTGAATAAACACGCACTGTGAGAATGTGTGGTGGGCATGTGCTATAGACCACCCAATCAGAAGTATGATGTAGATGAGGCTTTCTTCAGAGAACTAACTGAAGTTTCCAGATCACAGGCCCTGGTACTAATGGGGGACTTCAATCACCCTGACATCTGCTGGGAGAGCAATACAGCAATGCACAGATAATCCAGGAAGTTTTGGGGACAACTTCCTGGGTAACTACTGCAGGAACCGACTAGGGCCATGCTCCTCTTGACGTGCTGCTAAAAAAAAAGGAAGAATTGGTAGGGGAAGTATCAGAGGGGTAGCCGTGTTAGTCTGAATCTGTAAAAAGCAACAGAGGGTCCTGTGGCACCTTTAAGACTAACAGAAGTATTGGGAGCATAAGCTTTCGTGGGTAAGACCCTCCTTTCTTCAGATGCAAGTAAAGAAGTGAGGTTCTTCCCCACGAAAGCTTATGCTCCCAAAACTTCTGTTAGTCTTAAAGGCGCCACAGGACCCTCTGTTGCTTTTTCGGGGAAGTAGAAATGGGAGGCCGCGGGGGCCA